CGGAGTTTCACTCATGTTACCCAGGCTGGAGTGCAATGGCGCGATCTCGGCTCACCGCAACCTCCGCCTCCTGGGTTCAGGCAATTCTCTTGCCTCAGCCTCCTGAGTAGCTGGGATTATAGGCACGCACCACCATGCCCAGCTAATTTTTTGTATTTTCAGTAGAGACGGGGTTTCACCATGTTGACCAGGATGGTCTCGATCTCTTGACCTCGTGATCCACCCGCCTCGGCCTCCCAAAGTGCTGGGATTACAGGCTTGAGCCACCGCGCCCGGCCGAGGGTCTCCATTTCTAACAAGTTCCCAGGTGATACTTCTGCACTATATTAGGATTAATTTTTTATGTATTTGTCTGACCCCAAGCTCCTCCAGGAAAGAAGCTATGTCTTAATCACTTTCCTATCCCACTGCCTAGAAGAGCATGGTACCCCGTAGGTGTTCAGAAGATTTGATTTGATGACAGCAGGAAAGATCTAGGAAGTAGAGAGAGCCATTGTTCAGTTTCTGCTATTGGTAAGCTACAGAGTCTCTCCTCCTGGCAGCAGCTGTCGAGGTTGCCAAGAGTCATAAGGTAAGGGACACAGGAACAGGTAGCTGGTGACCAGGAGGACCCTCTACAAATGCAGAACTCAGCCTGTCACCGAGGAAGCAGGGAGGCTTGAGTCTCAATACTCTCCACTATCTCCCATGCCATGAACTTTACTTGTTTTATTGAGTGTCAGTCTCTTCATATTACTACAGAATCTCCATAAGGGCAGAGCATTTGTCCATTGCACTCCTGTGCTTGAAACAGAGCCTGGCATATAGTCAATCCTCAATAAATATTTGTTGCATGAATAATTTAATGAAAAAGTAACCATTGTCTTCCTGTCTCCCTTCTTTCTACAAATCTAATAACCAGGCAAGGTCTGGGCCTATATAAGGCAAAGGTGGAAAAGTCAGTAGTCAATGAGAAAAAAGCACCAAACAATACAGCTAACTTAAAAAAAACAGTCAAACAGCAAAAATTATTTTAAAATATTAAGGTTGGGTTTGCAAGTCTCCAACTAAATCGAATTAAGGCCTGAACATACAGGGCTCCAGCTCCCCAGAGACCTCCCTAATAGTTCCTAACACTAGACCCAGTATTCTCTGAACTGAACCATCAATGCAACCATAGAAAAGAGCCATGTGAAGGCAATGAGCAGAGTGTTTCAGACCCACACAATTTGACGTGGCTTTTAGAAACCTGCCTGAACTGCTCAGAACACCAGTGCCCTGGCCCTTCCCACCCATTAGAAACCAGGAGACTGAGGGTTTTATGAAATAATTACAAAACACTAAGATTGTTACACCTAGTTCATCAAACACTTTTACATAAAATCATAAAATAAAACCTAGAAACAATAATATCATAGATGTGCATTAGATGAAAGGGGTTCCACCTTCGGCTCCTCCTTTTCAGAGCTGTTTATCCATTTCTCTCAGCTGCCCCCACCCCAGCCCGAACCCCCAGGGCTTAATCAGCAGAGTCGCAGACCTGAGGGAGAATGGTTTCTATGCATGTACGCAGAAGGGTAGGGAGCCGGCCGGTGTCCTCGGAGGCCCGAATAGTGCTCACAGCCATGGTGGGTGTGGGGAGCAGGCAGAGGCAGAGGAGCGGCATACTGGTAATTGGAGTTTCCTGCTGTGCACACTCCATCCGGATTGGAGAAGATCCAGCCTCCCACTAAAACAGACATGAGGAAGACACCGAGACTGAGTCTGTGAACTCCCACACCAAAAATCAGGTGACCAGCCAGCTACTTTGCACAGCTACAATTCTTGTAAACGACACCGATACCAGCCTGTGTGGTGGTACCATCCCCGGGATGCCACTGCCCTTGCCCATGAGCAGGTAACTTGGCTTCTCAGGAAATGCATGACCAGTCCTGAAACTGCCTTTGCAAAAATTATATCCATGAGAAAATTATGGCAGTCGGGGAGATCTGATCTAGCCAATCTCCCTCTTGACATTAGTTAGCCTTCAAGCTGCCAAGCTGGCTTTGGGAGACATTTAGCTTACAGTTTAAATGATAACCCTTCTCTAAAACTCAACTGCCTTTGTAAAGCTAATGAAAGATCACCAGGCCAGGAGCACAGAGGGGCCTGAATTCTGCTAAGTTGTAGACACAAATGACCGCCAACCATTATTCCAGACTTCACAAGACGTGCAACTTTCTCAATTACTCCTGCAGATAACATCGCTATTGTGGAAGCTCTTTAGAGATCTCTTTGTTTTTTTCTGTTGAATCCTGATTTTTTATTTTTATTTTTTATTTATTTTTTTAATTGCATTTTAGGTTTGGGGTACATGTGAAGAACATGCAAGATTGCTGCATAGGTACACACATGGCAGCCTGATTTGCTGCCTTCCTCCCCTTCACCTTCCTCCCCTTCTAAAGAGACCTCTTTTCAGGTTTTTTGCATATCTGACACCAGTGGCTCCACCTGGACCACCAGCCCCACCTATGGCCCCACCCAGAAGTGACTCAGCACAAGAGGACAGCTTTAACTCCCTGATTTCATCTCCGACCCAACCTATCAGCAGCAAGCACCTAATTGCCTAGCCTCCCCAACTTCCTCCTTCAAACTACCTTTGAAAAATCCCTAACCTACAAGGTTTTGACGAGATTGATTCGAGTAATAACCCTGCCTCCCACATGGCACGGCCAGACTCGTATCTTATTAAAGTCTTTCTTTATTGCAATGTTGCGGTCTTTGTGTCAGAGGTGTTTGAACCAGAGTGACTCCATCTTGAATAGGGGCCGGGTAAGTGAGGCTGAGACCTACTGGGCTGCATTCCCAGGTGGTCAGGAATTCTTAGTCACAGGATAAGATAGGAGGTGAGCACAAGATACAGGTCACAAAGATAAAACAGGATGCAGTAAAGAAGCTGGCCAAAACCTACCAAAACCAAGATGGCAATGAAAGTAACCTCTGGTCATCCTCACTGCTCTTATACATGAATTCTAATGCATTCGAATGCTAAAAGACACTCTTACCAGCACCACGATAGTTTACAAATGCCATGGCAACATCAGGAATTTACCCTATATGGTCTAAAAAGGGGAGGAACCAACCCTCAGCTATGTTTCAGGTGATTAAAGTCCTATCAAAGGACTCTATCAAAGGGTGGAAAACCTCTAAAGCAAAACTGGAATATAGCTACGTGAAATACAGTCTGAATGCAGAAGTTAATAGAAATGCAAAGTTAAGGTGCTTCTGACTTAATTAATGTAAAGTCAGTCTAGGAGGCATCACAAGTATATGTAACTCATGGACCTAGAGGGAATGATTAATGTCGTAACACAGGAGGAGTGAAAGCCTCTCTATTTCTGCCGAGTGGGAAGGTGCTTTCAGTTCTTACTCTAAGCAAGAGGAATCACGATGCCTCCCAAACCCACCCCACAAATGGAATTCTGATAGCACAGAAAGGGGAGCTGGCCTAGCACACCTTGACAGCAAGCACTTTGGTTTGTTTTTTTTTCTTTTTTCTTCTTTTTCATCCCACTTCTTTACTGGCAGGCAGCAAGCATTTTGCAGAATATTTTGGAAGGCTGCAAATTGTTTTGTAGAAAGATTCTGAACAGAAGACTATTCGAGTGAGTTCACGGGCAAAGACTGAGACTTCGTAATGCAGGCCCTGAGGCAAGAAGGGTGTTCTCCCGCTGACCAGACCTCAGTGGGGGTGGGGGGGCGGGATTCAGATAGGACCAGAGCTGTTCCTTTAGAACATTGACTAAGGACGGTTACCTGGGCTTCAGCAAGAAGGAAATGGAGCTTGATATTATAACCTACTGTCTTTGCTTAATACTTTTTAAGTACAAGTAAACAAACTGTACAGAGTTCATATTACAACCATTCCCAACAAATCCTTCAGTCATCTCCATTTTCCTGTAGTTGTACCAACTTATGGCCCAAGGGGTCCCTATCTGACTAATAGAATCAAGATTCAGGCATCCAGTGGGCAAAACCAGGCAAGCAGCCCCTCAAAACCACCGACTTCGCCACATGTAACGTACACACCTCAAGAAGTTTACCGAGAAGATTGTAACACAGGACCTTGGAGCTCCTGTGGCTCTGCACATGGCCCTAACCTGTACAACAAGGTTTTTATTCCAGTTCATGTCCACCTAAAGGGAAAAACTGACAGGGAAACGAGAAAAGGAAAATAGCTCAGAGCAGTTTGAGTTATGTGAGGCATGCAAAATGCATCAGGCTGAGAGGGATGTGAGGGTGGGGGACCTTAGGTCAAGGGCACGCCTTGCACCCTTCCCCGGGGTCAATTCTTTTTTTTTTTTTTTAGTTTTTTTGAGACGGAGTTTCATGCTTGTTGCCCAGGCTGGAGTGCAATGGCATGATCTCAGCTCACTGCAACCTCCTCCGGGGGCAACTCTTTAAAGGCATTTTTGTTCCTGGACTAGCTGCCTTACCCATTATCTTCATGTTCCTGGAATTTGTGATACAAAGAACAATATATAGCCAATCAATAGCTTATGTCACGGTAAATTATTTATCAATTGCCTCTTCTTTTTTCCTCTAAAAACCCACTTGCAACTGCTGCTAACCCAAGCATATATTCAGGGGAACTTGAATCTACGTTCCCACGTGGTAGTCCTCAAATTTGGCCCAGATAACCTTTCTACTTATGTTAACGTTGCCTCAGTTTTTCATTTAGGTTGACAGTCACTTTTAAAGAGTGCTTTGCTGAGAGCAGCTTCTCTTTATGTGGCGACACTGCCAGGTCTGGCACAGAAGGTAAACTAAGGTTGAAGGGAAGGAGGAAGTAAAGAACTCCACAGCTGGAAGACTGCAGAAGGGATCTTTGCAAGCTAATATAATCCAAATTAAAGAGGGTTTCAGACACCAGGGTTCACTTTCCTACGCTGATGTCACTGAGCGCGGGTTGCACTGCAGCTGAGAGGATTCCCTCCACCATCCTGGGACATGGGCAGGGTCACACCCTGATGGGAGCATCCAGCACTACCTTCAGACTCCCAGATGTGTTACTCCACCTCTTCCCACAGCCTTCCAGTCCACAAACAAAGACTTCCTCATGGAGCCCACAGCCTGCATGACACATTGTGACACATTGCTGTGGGGACCAACTCCAAAATTAGCAAACACTAAGAACAGGAGAACTCCAAAAGAGAGAGACCAGAGTGGCGCGCATAAAGCTCGGAGGAAGCCGAGAGCACGCTGCTGGGGACTCAGCGCCTCACTGACGCGAAAACCAGAGGCTCAGAAGTTCATCACTGGCATTCTGATCTCCTGCCTAACATTTGTTTAAACCCCTTAAGCCTAGGACCATTGGTGTGCTCTCTGGAAACTCTGGAAAGGGCATACATTTGTCTTTAATGGAATAAACAGTGTGTTGGGTTTTGATCTGGAAGAGACCTTAAGCAATCCTGACAGGCGAAAAGTCTGAGTGTGGAGGGAGCCGCCTCCAAGCACGGCCCCAAGCACCTCCCGCCTCGTGTGCCCCAACTCACAGTGAGAATAGGTCACGTGCTGGCTCTCAGAGATAGCCTCCGGTATATCTCTTAGGTGATTTCTGAAAGAGTAAAGAAAACACACCATGGCTGTCCAACTTCTGATGTTTGTCCACCATAATGCATACCCAAAATTCTCCTTGAAGAGCCACACATTTCTTAAAATAAGAAAACCAATCACCTTTTTTCCTACGTTCCTGTCCTTCCCCATTCTCCTTCCTTCAGGGTGTTGTCTCTATTTGTGCAATTGTTCCTGCAGTTGCATTTGACTCTTTACCCCTCTTTACCACATTTACAACTATCCTGGTTTAGTTTGATCTGGCTAATTTGGACATATTGCTCCTGACTCACAAGACTTAAGCAATCATAACGGTACAATTCCAGGGCACAATTACATATGTGCTATGCTAGGTCCACCAATGGCCCTGTGAGGGAAATATTAGCACATTTTTCTAATTTTGTAGATTAGAAAAGTGGAACTCCAGGAGGTAAACTGACTTACTGCCAGTAAATTACAGAGCAAAAATTCAGTCGGGACCTCTTCCTGGCAGTCCCAAATTCTTTGTATTATACCATGCTGCTGTCACTTTGAATCTAGATTCTGTCATCTCACATATCAGATTGTCCTTTAGGCCTTTTGTTAACTGAAAATGTTATAAATGTGTCTTGTATGTCATCAAAATTTATTCTAATATTGGAGCCAGGCTCACTCCTATAATCTCAGCAACTAAGGAGGCTGAGGCAGGAGGATCTCTTGAGACCAGGAGTTTGAGACCGCCTGGGCAACATACTGAGACCCCCTGTCTCTTAAAGAAAAAAAACTGTAGCCAGCCATGGTGGCACACACCTGTAGTCCCCACTACTTGGGAGACTGAAGCAGAAGGATTGGCTTGAGCACAGGAATTTAAGGCTGCAGTGACCTATATCACACCGCTGTACCCCAGCCCGCAAGACAGAGCAAGACCCCATCTCTAAAATAATAATAATAATGTGGGTGGGAGGATCACAAGGTCAAGAGATTGAGACCATCCTGGTCAACATGGTGAAACCCCATCTCTAAAATATAAACACACACACACACACACACACACATATATATATATAATAACGTATTCAAATATTGAACAGGACAGGGTCCTGTAATACATCATTATGAACATCCATCCATTTATATAGAGTCTTATTGGAGCCTTTAAGGTGAACAGGAAAGATTAGACAGTTACAAAGATTATTTAAAAGATTTGAAACTCAAGCATAAAATCTGAACATTTCAAAGATAATCATATTTATACTGTAGGCTTTGTCAATTAAAGAGTCAGTGATAAGCATCATCATCTCTTTCCTGGGATGGAAAAGATATAGACGCTGGGCACAGTGACTCATGCCTGAAATCCCAGCAATTTGGGAGGCTGAGGCAGGTGGATCATCTGAGGTCAGGAGTTCAAGACCAGCCTGGCCAACATGGCGAAACCTCACCTCCACTAAAAATTTTTTAAAAAATTGACGGGCATTGTGGCAGGCACCTGTAATCCCAGCTACTAGGGAGGCTGAGACACAGGAATTGCTTGAACCCAGGAAGCCAAGATAGTGCCACTGCACTCCAGGCTGACTTAAAGGAAGGAAGGAAGGAAGGAAGGAAGGAAGGAAGGAAGGAAGGAAGGAAGGAAGGAAGGAAGGAAGGATAATAATAAAATCATTATTATTAATAATAAGGAGGGAGGGAGGGAGGGAGGGGAAGGGGAAGGGGAAGGGGAAGGGGAGGAAGGAAGAAAGAAAAAGAGAAAGAGAGAGAGAGAGGGGAGGGAGGGAGGGAAGGAAGGAAGGAAGTAAAGAAAGAGAGAGAGAGAAAGAGAGAAAGAGAGAGAGAGAGAGAGATGGCAGGTCGCTGACCCATAGTAGCAGAATCATCACTCATACCCCCAGAAGTCTCTGACTTTTCTTCTCAGCAGAGGAAATGTGAACCTCTTTCCATTTTTCACTTTTCCTAAGCTAAGTGTTGTGTGTGTGTGTGTGTGTTTGTGTGTGTGTGTATTTTATGTTTTTTGGGTTTTTTTGAGACTGAGTTTCCCTCTTGTTGCCCAGGCTAGAGTGTAATGGTGCCATCTCGGCTCACTGCAACCTCTGCCTCCCAGTTCAAGCAATTCTCCTGCCTCAGCCTCCCAAGTAGCTGGGATTACAGGCATGAGCCACCACGACCGGCTACTTTTGTATTTTTAGTAGAGATGGGGTTTCTCTATGTTGGTCAGGCTGGCCTCGAACTCCTGACCTCTGGTGATCTGCCCACCTCGGCCTCCCAAAGTGCTGAGGTTGCAGGCGTGAGCCACCACGCCCGGCCTAAGTGTCATTTTAAAAGAGCAATTTAATAAAGTCATGCTACTCAGAAGTAATTAGGAAAAAGGCAGAGTGAATTATTATAAATCTAAATAATTTAATTTTTTTAATGTGATTGTGCTACTTTTAAGAATTTATAGTAAAACAGGGCTTAAAAAAACATAATTAACAGTTATTCCTTATAACAGGGATAATAATACTATTAATATTATCCCTGTTATAAGGAATAATTATAATTTGAATTTTGTAGATTTTGTTGAATGTTGAATATTGAAAGCGTATTTCTATCAAAGGTAATGTAAGTGCTACTAGTCTAGTTCCTTTCAAGATAATCATAAATTACACATTTGCATTGCATAAATCATTCATTAGAAGATTTTACTAAAATTTCTCTACTCACCTTTCCTTGGCATCCAAGAAGGCTTTGGCAAAAGGATTGTACTTGATTTTGAGAGCTGTTATCTTGCATTTACAAAGACAAGAAGTGTTAGTAAAAGTGGGATACACATGGGCAGACAGAAGCCTTTGACTTCTGTAAAACCGGGTTAATTCCCTCTCTTTGTCTTCCCTTTCCTGCGAGGCATGGTGGCTTATGCCTGTAATCCCAGCACTCGGGGAGGCCGAGGCCCTTTGCATCTTTGCTTACTTGTGCACTTAATCACCACTGCGCCGTCTCCCTGTCTCCGGCAAAGGACATTTTATCATTGCATGGGGTGAAAATGCCAATGCCACGTAAAGTAAGAAAAGAAAGGGCAAAGCACTGGAAATGAGCAAAGCCCTGATGTTTGAAGCCTAGCATTCATTTTTCTACTCATTTATTGTTTTCAATGATCCTTGAGCCCCTACTGCATGCCACTGACTTTTCTAGTCACTTGGAACATAGTGGAGAGCAGCACAGGTGTGATCTGGCCCCTCTGGGAGAGGGCCATCTAGCATCGAGTCCCTCATTCATAAATAACCACGTACACATGGAGCCACATCAATGCGAAAAGCAAACTATCATGCCCCTTCAATGTCACTCTCTTTATCCGCCTTTCACTGAGCCTGCTTCACTTCTCATCAGAGACATCTGACATAGAGATAGTGATCATCGTAGAGATAAAAGAGAGAGAGACAGAGAAATATTTATTTTTCATCTGTCCCCACTGGGATGTAAGTGGCTTGAAGACAGGGAATTCATCTGTTTTATTCATTGCAGTATTTCCGGCATCTAGAACAATATCCAGTATGCAGGAATGACTAGTAAACATTTGTTGAATATATAAAGATTAACAGAATATTTATGTCAGGAAGACCTGAGACTTGATGGAAGAAGGAAAGGAAAATAAGAGCCAGATTTGGTTTGGCTGTGTCCCCACCCAAATCTCATCTTGAATTGTAGCTCGCACAATTCCCCTGTGTTGTGGGAGGGACCCGGCGGGAGATAACTGAATCATGAGGGCGGTTTCCCCTGTACTGTTCTCATGGTACTGAACAAGTCTCACAAGATCTGATGGTTTTATAAGCGGGGTTTCTCCTTTTGCTTGGCTCTCATTTTCTTTGCCTGCCACCATGTAAGATGTGTCTTCTGCCTTCCACCATGACTGTGAGGCCTCCCCAGCCATGTGGAACTGTGAGTCCATTAAACCTCTTTTTCTTTATAAATTACTCACTCTCGGGTATGTCTTTACTAGCAGTTGAAAATGACTAATACAGAGCCCATCTCCTTCTGGTCCAGAACTTGTGAGAAGAAATCAGGATAAAAAGGAAGGAGAGGTTTGGGGTCAGATAGATACAACCTGGTCTTTCTATTGGCTTAAACCTGGAGAGGTCAAGAAGCATATATAAAGTTAGCTGGGGGTTCAAAGGAGACACTGGCCTCCTTCACCCACTCCCACGCCCACTCGCCACTCAGGGTGCATCTGCATGGACTTGGCAGGGAAACTTTGTTGGCAGAGGGAGGCCCAGGGCCTAGGCTTTCCAGAGCTTGATTGCCATGAGGCATGTTCAAGACCCAGTCAGACTGGGAGCTTGCTGGATGGGTCAAAACGACCAATCACGTGGTTCAGAGAGAACTGTCCAGCAACTGCAGCCAGGAAAAGCTTCTGAGAATTTACCAAGTCAGCGGCCAGATGACAAGTTCCGCATACCACCAACTAAGCCACCAGCACACAGTGGGCAGGGGCCTTGCCTGGAGACCAGAGGAGATTAGGACATGGTTTCCAATTCTGCGTGCAACCCCCACTGCCCCACTTTCCAGAGTTCCAAAGACCATACCTCCCCTCATAGACCCAGACTCCGGCCCAGGGAGAAAAGCTGGGAATGAGAGCTATCTGCAAAATGGAATGACTTCATCATCTAAAGACTGGCCACCAGCTGAGGGACTGTATAGGTGATCAGCTAGTTCATTTCTGCTCCCATTGGCCGGCTGCAGGGGCTCTGCCAAGAGGCCAGTTTACTTACAGAAATGACATTTTCTCTGCACAGCTGTGATGTAAGTTAAATCTGCAACTTCATTTAGCCTGTAGACACTAAGACAGTAGTTTCCAAGCCTGGATGATCAATAGAATCCTCTGGGAGACTTTAAAATCTACAGATTCTGGGCATCGTCCTTGGAAATTCTGACTCAGTTGGCTGAGTGGCAGCCCAAAATCTGTCTTTAAAGCTTCCAAATAAATACAGATGGAAGCAACAAGATCTTTTTCTCCCTCTCTCTAAGATGGAGTCTCACTCTGTCACCCAGGCTGGAGTGCAGTGGCGTGATCTCAGCTCACTGCAACCTCCACCTCCTGGGTTTAAGCAATTCTCCTGCCGCAGCCTCCCGAGTAGCTGGGATTACAGGCACTCACCACCACACCAGCTAATTTTTGTATTTTTAGTAGAGATGGGGGTTTCGTCATGTTGGTCAAGTTGGTCTTGAACTCCTGACCTCGTGATCCGCCCACCCCGGCATCCCAAAGTGCTGGGATTACAGGCATAAGTCACGTCGTCTGGCCAAGATCTTATTTTTTTTAACCTAGCAGATTGTCAAAGATGCCAAAGATTGGATAACAGTGTTGATCATGGTGTGGGGGCTATAAACAGAGATGCCGTTTTGAGGGAGGCAATCTAGCCATGTCTATCGATTTCTAGTTATTCACCCATGCAAGCAAATGACAGGTGCACCAGGATATTCGTTGCAGCATTATTTATAATGGAAAATAAAGGGCCAGGCGTGGTGGCTCACGCCTGTAATCCCAGCACTTTGGGAGGCCAAGGTGGGTGGATCACCTGAGGTCAGGAGTTCAAGACCAGCCTGGCCTGGCCAACATAGTGAAACCCCGTCTCTACTAAAAATACAAAAATTAGCAGGCATGGTGGCAGGCACCTGTAGTCCCAGCTACTTGGGAGACTGAGGCAGGAGAATTGCTTGAACCCAGGAGACAGAGTTTGCAGTAAGCCAAGATCACACCACTGCACTCCAGCCTGGGTAACAGAGCGATACTCCATCTAAAAAAAAAAAAAAAAATTAGCCGGGCGTGGTGGCAGGCACCTGTAATCCTAGCTACTCAGGAGGCTGAGGCAGGAGAATCCTTGCACCTGGGAGGCTGAGGTTGCAGTGAGCCAAGATCACACCATTGCATTTCTGCCTGGGCAACAAGGCTGAAACTCCATCTCAAAACAAAAGAAAGAAAGAAAACAGTTGGAAACAACTTAAATGTCCATGGGTTGGGGGTCTGATTACATGAAATAGTGTATTCGTACAGTGAAATATTCTGTAAACACTACAGAAAAGGAGACAGATAAACCTAGGTATAATTACATAGAAAGGTAATCATAATGCACTGTTAAATTGGGGAAAAAGAAATTTGCAGATTAATAATATATACAACATGAGCCAATTTATGTGAGGAAATCTACATTCACATATATATTTACATGTACACAGAAAATTTGTCAGAAAAACACAATTATTCTTCATAGTGTCCATGGAGAGTAAGATTCCAAAAGCAGAAGAAACCAGTATAGCTTTACCTTGTAGTTTTCATTTTTACTTTACTTGTGTACTGTCTATTATGTGTTTTTAAATAAATACATATTATTTTTAAAAAATTTTTAAGTTTAGTCAAAAAGAATTCAACCCTCTCTGAGTTCTTCTGATAATCAGCAGGTCAGAGAACCCCTAAGACATGTGAACAGGCCCAAAGCAGCTCACAGATAGGCCAAGCGCTAACCACTCAGGCCTCACAGCCAGGTAGCTCAGGTCACTAGGCAGCAGCAGTCTATGCTCAGACACTGAACAATAACAAGCAGAACTGACGGCATAATAAAACCCAAGGGAGGGTGCGCATTTGCATCACTTGCTACAGACTTGCTTCTAGAGCAGGAGAGAGTAGTCCCTGACAGCCCCTGCCCAATTGTACCCACTCAAGACACACTCAGCTCTGCACAGGCCAAGGGCACGCAGGGGCCTGACCACAAATACTCCAGAGTTTCACCAGAACTCAGGAGTTTCATGACAATGCACAGCTGTGCCTTGCTGGCACCAGGAGAGCACATGCTGGTGAGCCTTTAGCAAACAGGCAAGAGGGAGGGAGAGCAGCTACTCCATTGTTTAACTTGATGTCTGCTGAGTGTATCCAAATCCTGGAAAACCCACCTTTCATCTAAAAGGACCCCTTTCCCATCCTGCCCTGCCCTGATCTCGCAGGTGACAGTAACACACACACACACACACACACACACACACACACACACACACACGCTCTTACCTCCTCATTCTGATAGGCAGTCACGGCTATGAACTGGGTTTCAGGGAAGGAGCAGTTCATTACCATTCGATGGGCACTTCCAACACGTACTATATGAACCTGGGGTTCATATTTATGCAGAGAATTCAACATTATCTGTCGAGGCAGAAGAGAAAGAAAAGCAAAGCCCTGTGTATCACAGGTGATAAATGAGCCAGTATCTCCAGTTGGTCCCAAACTCAGCACCAACCCAGGTAGGGACACACATTTCAAATCTTAGGCCTCCTGAGCTGCCATCACACCCCTGAGAAACAAATTAAGGGAATTTTCCAGAAGCTCCCGAGAAGCCTAACACTGAAGCCTTTACAGGGGTGAGGGGTGGGTTGTCAGAAAGGAGTTATTCTTAAGAACATTCAGTTTTCCTCCAAGACCTTGGCTTCCTTTTTCTCCTTCCCCTATTTTCAGCACAACAATGTGGATTTCAATCCATCAAAATACATTGTTTGCCTTTTTTTCATCTGAGGAATCCTAATAACTCAAAATGCTGACCATGGGTGCACTTTCCACATGACTAAAGAGTACTGGAATATGGCATCTGATGGTTACATATAATCCACTCTCTGTGAGTCAAATGAAAGGTGTAAAAACACCTCTTGCTGTGAAATCTGGGAGGCAGTAACAATTTACTGTTCAATATCCCATTTTAATAAGGAACTGGAAGCTTCGGAGTATCACATAGACTCAGGCAGTGTTACCTCCAAACACATGACCTCCTATGGTCCCTGCCATTTAAACACAGAGATGGGAAAAGGGGTACACGGCACAGGGAGGGAGGCTGAGGAAAGCCAAATACACAGGTGGGGGAAAAAAGAACCCGGACCCTTTCCTCCTGTCCTTGTCTCCAGTCCCCAGAAACCGCCTACATTTCAGAAAGTAACTAACAACCTTCTACAGCAGACTAGTATTCACAGTCCTAACACAGAAAACGAGAGGAAAAAGTCCCCAGTTCTTGTTTACTCTAATTGCAGACCTGAAATAAAACCTTCCTTGTTTAAGGAAGGTTTGTTTGGATTATTTTTTTCTGAAAAACCAAAGCTGATTCTATATTCTATTGATAATTATCATAATGCCCAAGTAGAGACAGTAATTATTTCATTTAGAAGCAGCTTTTTATGAAGGTATTTGTCTATTGCCAGCATGCCACTTATACCAAAAAAGGGGAGAGGGAATAACAAAACCCTGGTACCCACAAACATCTCCCTCCCCGGGCTGGGTAAAAAGCACAGCATACAAGGCAAAACTGTACAAAGGGCCCCAGTGATTAAGTAAACCACTGCTCTCTCACTCTCTTAACATCAGGAAGTCCATTAAAAACTGAAAGCACCAATTAAGAGCTGTTTATTCTTGTTTACATTTGGACTCCAGGGAATAATTGGCTTCCGTGGGAGAAGAGGCTGGTGAGGACACCTCTAATTGCCTAAATGCACCCTTGATATTTCTTGATTGGTGTGGTGGGGAGGCCGGGGCGGGTGGCCAGGCCTGCCCACCTCATACCTGCCCGCCTCCATTGAGCTTGTTGGTCAGCTTCACTTTGCTGAAGGAGATGGGAGCTTTCATCCAGTGGGCACCAAAGTTGGGGGAGTCCGGGTGAATGTAGACGCAGCTGTGGCTGGAGACCTCTGGCTTGCCCGCAGGCACCCATTCCCCATTGACGTACTTCCAGCGGTGACTGTCCGTAGGGACAAAGTCCAGCAGGAGGGAGTACATGGCATTGGGGTCCAGTCCTGTGACACTAATCTTTAGGACTGGAAACATCCGTCTAAAAGAAAAGGCAGACACTTAGCCACAGGAGGGACGTCAGAGGGGCTCACCTTGTCCAGGGGCCTCTCAGTACTGAGAACTTCCACAGAATGTCCTGTAAGTCCCCAGTCCACAACCCCAATTCTACTGGAGCTTCTTCTCATAAATGAGTTTAATACTAGCGTTTAAGACATGCTCTATTTTAAAGCCTGAAAACCACTGATGGAGTCATTGGACAGAACAGGAACGTGACGCCCAGGGTATATCAAATGCCACATGCCCACAGAAAGCTTTCCTCAAAGATTTCCCACTGGCATCCTGATGCCATGACCAGCCCCTCCCAACCTCACAAAGAACACTTTTCCTGAACAACAGTAATAGCATTTATAGCAAAACATGCCAGCCTGGGCAACACAGGTTGGCAGCTTTTTATGAAGGTATTTGTCTACTGCCAGCATATAGACAAATGTAATGTTAATGTAACATTGGCAAGAATAAACTTACTGGTATTATTCTAGCGTGTAGAACAAGGATCGATGCATCTAGATGTGCATGTCTCAAAGTGTGTTCCTTGGACACAAATTCCCATAAAATGCTCAGCTAAATGATAATCATATTTATTAAATTCATAATTTAAATAGGAGGCTAGGACAAGTATATAAATTAAATAAAATTTCTAGGGAGAAAAATGCATCAGATGATGCATTCCAGATCCAGGTCTCTGCTGAGAAATTACCCACCGCAGCACTCGCCCTCCCTCAGTGAGATGATTGCCCTTTCACATGAACTACAATGATACGCCTCCTCTAGGGAGGCTGCCTGTGTGATGTAAAATCTTCATGCTGCGCTTTCTTTTGTTCTTTCTTCAGTAGAAGGATTATTGTCTTTTATTTTCTAATATCAGATTAAACGATTCCCTTTTATGATATATTTTATTATTTTCAATTATCTTAATAATATTGGCCAAGTATAGAAAACAGAAGGATCCTGACAACACAAGAGCCATTTGCAAAGAATCATAAAAGTGGGCATCAGAAATGATCCTGGGGATCATATAGGGTTATTCTGCCAGCCAGCAGTCAAACCTGTTCATATGAGGTATACTGAGACATGGTCTCTGTGTTCCAGTCCAGTGCTACCCCTGAAATACTAAAGTTTACTTTTTATTTGAAGGAAAACATAAGAGTGGCATGTGTATAGTTGTCATTTTGTGTACTAAAGTTAAAAAGTACCAAAGGAGCTTAAGACCAGCCTAAGTAGCACGGCAAAACCCCATCTCTATAAAAATACAAAATTTAGCCAGGTGTGGTGATGCACACCTGTAGTTCCAGCTATTGGGGAGGCTGAAGCAGGAGGATCACTTTAGTGTGGAGGCTGAGGCTGCAGTGAGCTGTGATCACACCACTGCACTCCAGCCTGGGTGACAGAGTAAGACTGTGTCTCAAAAAATAAAATAAAAAATACCAAAAGTTTTCTCAATAACACTACATAGTACACATAAAAGTAAGGAAAAAAAGCTTATAAAGCATATAATATATTTCTCATGCACTAAACTGCCAGAATAATGATGCAATTGTTCAAGCATGAGAGCATGGCTGGTGTCTTCATGATATGAAATGTCAGAATGTTTCATAAAGTTCTGACTTATGATTTAAGAAATGACTTAATGCAAGATAGTTGTGTTTGTTTTATTTTTATTAAAAAAGGGTCTCACTGTGTTGCCCAGGCTGCTTTCAAATTCCTGGGCTCAACTCCTACCTCAGCCTCCCAAAGTGCTGGGATTACAGATGTAAGCCACAGAGCCTGACCACAAGATTGTTTTTCTAATGATAACAATTATCACGTGCAGTCAGGCCTCCACATTCCCAGGGTCTGCATCTGTAGATTCAACCAAATGCAAATTGAAAAATTTGAAAATAAATAATACAACAATAAAAAAATGCAAATAAAAACAATACAGCATAACTATTTACACAGCATTAACATTGTATTAGGTATTATAAATAATCCAGAAATAATGTAAGTATATGGAGGATGTGCATAGGTTATATGCAAAATAGTCTAGTCCATTTTATACAAGAAACTTCAGCATCCTCAGATTTTGATATTTGCAAGGGCCTGGAACCCATTCTCTGCGGATACCGAGGGATGGTTGTAGTGAGTTTTACTCTGCACCTAGGACTTTGCCTACATTATATTTCACTTCAGTCTTACTTCACCTGCAAGGAGATTATTATGCCAATTTTATAGATGAGGAAACTGGGACTCAGAAAACACACATTACATTACATTACATTACATTAACCACTCCTTTTTTTATTTTTTACTTTCTTTTCCTTTCTTATTAGCTGTTCAAAAGCTAATATGGTTGAGCCACAGTGAAAGGAGAAGTCCCCCTCAATGTTTTCCCAAATCTTAATACCTAATCAGATATTTATTTGCCCATTTGACCAATGGATTTTTAGTGTCTGCTCTATACCAGGAACTGTTCTAGGTGGGGATTCAATGACAAAAATTGCAGACCCAGTATCTTCTTGCTCACAAAGTTTACATTGTAACAAAGAAGTCAGCCAACAAAAATGTCAATAAATCTTAAGATTGGAAGGATCACTTGAGGCCTGGAGTTCAAGACTAGTCTGGTCAATTTAGCAAGACCCCATCTCTATTTAAAAAAAAAAAATCTTTTTAAATTGCAAGAGTGCCATGAAGTAACTAAAATGCATGATGTCACAGAAGGAGACTAAAGGGTGAGTAGCTACTTTAGCCAGATATGAACAGGAAGTGACATTTGAGCTAAGACCTAAATAATGAGAAGAAATGAGTCATGCTAATGTTAGAAGAGGTGCACTTAGAGGCAAAAGAAACAGGAACTACAATGGCCCTGAGGTTCAAATAGCCCTGCTCTATTCAGAAACTAAAAGAGAAGATCAAAGTGTCTGAGGCAAAGTGGAGGGAAAATTCCAATTCTTATCCTCACAGCTAATAGGTTAGAGTGCCCTCCTCTTGCTCTCTCAGCTATATCATGCGAGGCCTCGTAAAGAATGTAGCGTGACTTTTCATTCCAGAATCAGAAAATGTGTAATGGCTTTCCATCTTTCATGCTACGGTCAGAGCTGTACCTGATGTTTCAAATAAGCCATGATCAATGAAAAGATGCTTAACATCATCAGCCATCAGAGAAATGCAAAACCAAAACTACAGTGAGATGCCACTTCATGCCCACTAGGATGGTTGCAATACGAAAAGTAGGCAATAAAAAGCAATGGCAAAGATGCAGAGAAATTGGAATCCTCATACATTGCTGGGGGGAATATAAAATGACGCAGTCACTTTGGAAAATAGTCTGACAGTTCTTCGTCTTGTTAAATGTACAGTTTATCAATAATCCAGCAATTCCGCTGGTAGGTATATACTCAAGAAAAATGAAAACATAGTTGCATGCAAACATTTGTACACAGATGTACATAGCAGCGTTATGCATAATAGCCAAAATGGAAAAAAACCCAAACGTCCATGAACTGATGAAGGATAGATAAAATGTGTTATATCCATACAATGGAGAATTTGCCAATAAAAAAGAAGTGCTGATACAGGCCATTGGTGAACCTTGACGACATTATGCTAAGTAAAAGAAATCGTTCACAAAGGACCACATATTGTATGATTCCCTGGATATCAAATGTCCATGATATGAAATAGGGAACTCTATAGAGACAGAAAGTAGATTAGTGGATGCCGGGGGCTGAGGAGGTGATGGCTAAGGGTGCAGGGTTTCCTTTTGAAGTGAAAAAAATGTTCTAAAATTAATTGTGGAGATGGAAGCACAACTCTGTGAATTACTAAGAACCACTGAACTATACACTTCAAATGAATGAGCTATATGGTATGTGAATTGTATCCTCATAAAGCTGTTAATAAAAACAAAAGTCAGTGTCTCATCTCTTAGAAGGAGGACATATCTGGGAAATGGGAGAATGATTAATTGCTTTATTTTCTGTAGTATTCCATTTGCCAAGAACTTTATAATTACTTTTGTTTTTATCACTACATAAACTGAGAAATGACATGAATTTTTTAATCCCTATTATGGCAATGAGGAATAAATAAAAGTCAGTTAACTTGCCTAAGGTCTTGTAACTGGGACTAGAACTCACCCTGCCTCCAAGCCAAGTTCCCCTCCTCCCACCCCACTTTCCCTCTTTTGCCTCACAGTGAGAGGGATGCATTATCTAGGGATCCAGTAAGTATTGATCTGTGATCACCACTCATGATCAGGCTTTATTTTAGAGATGAACTGCACTTCTAATCAACGTGATTTTTCCCCATTTTTTTTCCCTAGAATGAAGCTAACATAGAGAAATCCAGAGTCATTGAGAAGATAAGAAATAGGTAAATCTGTCTCTAAGTGACAGCATAACCTCACTTAATCCACCCTGGAAAGAAAGCCTCCTTGGAGAGAAAGACAGGAAAATGTGGCAGGATAAATAAGCATTCCTCAAAAAAAATGCACTTGAAGAATCACAGGTGGTTGGGCTTTGCCCGTAAACTGTCTGGTTTTTATTATGAGACCAGCTTTCCACTTTTGTTTCACTGACAGGGAATCTCCAGAGCCAGTGCTGCTGGAGGAGGCTACGAGAAGTGAGGTTTGCAGGAAGAAAGCGGGCAGAGATGAGGCAGATTTTACAGGTGGGGGAACAGCAGAGACGGTTAAAAGCAAATTCAAAAAGTTTCACTTATAAACACTTTCCTCCATCTCTCCACAAACTCTACTATTTATCATATACCCATCAGAACTTTCAGAGGGGTGTGTGTGTGTGTGTGTTTGTGTGTCACACATGGTGCCTGGATGCTGACATTTATGTGAAGGTGAGCAGGCATAAGAATAGCTACAGGTGTCAATTAAAGATACATAAACAAAGGGAAAAAAAGAACGGCATTAGGAAAGCACGGTGGCCTGGTTAGAGGCAGATTACACAATGATCTTCTTGAGTTGTAATTTTAAAGTTCAGAGGCAAGTAT